ACCAATAGGAGGAACCACAAGAAAGAGGAAACAAAACAAGACAGAAAGAAAAAAAAAGCAAATTGTATGCTTCGATCTACATTCAAACTCCATAGTACTTTCTCTGGATGTGGATAGCATTTTCCATCATGAGACTTTTGGAAATGTCTTCGATCCTTGAATGGCTGAGAAGGTCTAAATCCGTCAAAGCTAGGTCAAAATTCAGGTCAAATTTGAACTCTGGTCTTCCTTACCTCAAGCCTAGCCCTCCAACAACTGACTACACCCCTTCTAGACTTTTGCTTGGGTTGGGGCAGTAGGCTGGGGAGGGGTCAGCACCATTTGTACTCTTTGAGGGAAAAACTTTATTCTTTAGAGACATATGATAGGAGAAGTAATAGACTAGTGGACAGAGTGCTAGATTGGGAGATCAGGTGACCTGAGCTGAGGTTCTGCCCTGACACTTAACAGTTAGATGACCATTGGCAAATCACTTAACCTCTCCAGCCCCAGGAAAGACTCTAGGGCATTGCTGGGGTTTTTTTGTTTTTTGTTTTTGTTTTTGCTTTTTTTTAAGGCAGTTGGGGTTAAATGACTTGCCCAGGGTCACACAGCTAGTAAGTGTCATGTGTTTGGTCTGAGGTCGGATTTCTCAGGTCCTCCTGATTTCAGGGCCAGTGCTGTATCCACTTTGCCACCTAGCTGCCCCTGGCATTGCTGGTTTTGATCTACTTTGGTGGACAGAGTTCTTCACCAAGAGTTTCCCACCATGATACAGACACAGTCATAGATCATTCATGGATTTTCATGTGTGCATATGATAGAGGGAAAGATAGAGGCCAGAGTAAGGTACTTAGAGTCCAGAAGACCTGGGTTCAAGTTACACCTTTGACACTTACAAAGGAGATGACCAGGCACTCAACCACTTGGTACTGTGGGCAGCTCTTTTAAGACCTTGAGTTTTCTTTAAATTGATGCCTCTCACTTTTATCTCTTTCATTTCCGAATATCTTCCTCTTCCTCTCTACTACATAATCCCATGTAACAAAGATTTAAAAAGAAAATGAAAAAAATAGTTTAGTAAACCCAACCTTATTCAAACCAATGTGTCTAATATATTGACATTTGACAGTGTATGCAGTAGGTACTCCATATGCATGGTCATCTACCTCTTCAGGGAAGTGAGGAAAGTACATTTTCTGAGTTGTTCTCTGAGGCCAAGCTTGGTCAGTGCAATTTCTTTTTTTTTTTTTTTAAGGCAGTTGGGGTTAAGTGACTTGCCCGGGGTCACACAGCTAGTAAGTGTCAAGTGTATGGTCTGAGGCCGGATTTGAACTCAGGTCCTCCTGAATCCAGGGCCAGTGCTCTATCCACTGCACCACCTAGGTGCCCCTTGGTCAGTGTAATTTCAAAGCATTCAGTTTGATTTGTTTTTTTTGTTGTTGTTAAAACTTCTAGAGTTATTATTTATATTGTTTACTTGGTTCTGTTTACTTCACTCTGCAGTAGTTTATGTAAATCTTCCCATGTTTCTCTGAATTCTTACTAATTTTTCTGTAAAAATAAATTTTCATTCTGTTATATACATATATCACACAGTTTGTTTAGCCATTCTCCTGTCAATAAGTATCTGTCATGTTTCCAGTTTTTTTGCTCCCACAGAAAATGGTATGAATATCTTGGTGTTAATGGGACCTTTCTTTCTTTTGTCTTTGACCTCCTTAGGGGATATATTTAGCTGAGGGATCTCTGGATCAAAGGATGTGGATATTTTCATCACTTTTTCTTTAACATAATTCCAAATTGCTTTCCAGAATAACTGGACTGATTCATAACTCCACCACCAGTGTATTAGTGACCTGACTTCACAGCCCATTCAACTTTGAATATTTCTAGGTTTTGTCATCTTTGTCAATTTATTGGTATTTGGTGAAGCCTCATGGTTGTTTTGATTTGTATTTTTCATATTCTTAGCAATTTGGAGTAGGCTTTCCTGTGGTTGTTAATAATTTGCAGTTTATCTTTTGAGGACTTTTTGTTCATATCCTTGAACTACTTATCCATTGGTAAGATTCAAAGTTATAGACAGACTGTACTTCATTCCTATAATGGGAATTCCTATCCAGCTGAAAGCATAGTGTACATAAAAATCCTATGTGTAATGTAAGTAAATATGCACATTTTATATGTGTGTATGTATTTTTCTCCTTGAAAGCAATGGCTGCATCATTCAGTCCCTGCTAAAAGAGAGCCCAGGGCTTTCATTCATACCCCTCTGAATCTTTTTTCTGCTATAATTTTCTGCTATAATTTTCCACACTTCCTTGAGGACTCATCAAAGTCATGACAAAAATTCTATATAAATTCTATATAAATAAAGTTTACAAAATATATATAGCCATTGTGTTTTTAAAGATGGAGTGCAGTGTTCTCTCTGAAATCAGCTTCACTTGTCCCTCTTTTTCCCTGACAAGTCCCATTTTCTCTTTGTTTTGCCATAATTTTAAGGGAATTTCAGAGTATGAAGTTCTTACAAATTAAAAGGCTCCATTAGGAATTGCATGTGTGGAGTGGGGGAGTGGAGAAGGAGATATTGGCCTGAACTAATTAACTTTTGCCTTTGTTCTGCCAGTTCATTTTGTTTGTGATGCAGTTCATGATGTGGCTTCCTGGTTGCTCCTTATCTCTCTCTCTCCACCTTGTTCTTCAGTTGGAGATCTATTAATCAGCCCCTGTCACTTCTGCCTTCTTGTTTTGTGGAGACCATCCAGGCCTTGGCTGGTAGTTTGGCTATTTATGCTTTAAGACTCAAGATCCCAATCTGAGGCTACATCCTTGATTAGCATTTTCCTCTTCCTATCATGTTTTGGAATGGGAGGGATTGGCGTTCTTTGAGGCCCACATTGTCTCTTTCTGGGGGAAGGATGTTGGTCACAAGAAAGAAACTAACGTGCAATAACTTGGTTGCCTTTGTTAGGAGTAAGGTGGGTAGGTCACAGATCTTGTACCTAGGGGCTCTTTTGAACATGATGAGGCAGTTAAAAAATCAGGGATGGGAAAACAGATAGGTACAGGTCAATGGCATGATGAAAAGGGTCTTGAGGACAGCCCCTCAACAAAAAGCTCTCTGGCCATCCCTATTCTCTGCCTCTGCTGTCACGTCCCATAATGACAGGTCTGTTTTCTCCAAAGATATCCTCTTTGGTCCCTTCCCCCACTCAGACACAATATAGCCATTTAAAAATAACAAACTATTTGCCACAGTTAAAGAAAACTTCAGAACATGAACTTCGTATAGTTTAGGTAAATCACAATCATAGATTCTTTCAGGTTCATAGCTTTACCAGACTTGAAGTCATTATCCATTCTCTTTTCTCACCCACCATACCCACTCCCCAAAAACCAAAGCTCTTTCTTTCCACAGCCTTACTTACTAAAGGTCTTTTCTTTCTGGACCTCATATTTGCCTACATTAGTTTTTTTTTTTAAGTTTTGCAATTCTTCATACAGCCACCAGAACCTTGACTCAGGAGATTCTGCTGGGCTCCTCCCCTAGAACCAGCATATCTTCTCAGACAACCTCAGCCTCATATCTTTGAGAAGTCCTCTGAAGCCTCTTAATTCAGTCCCTCTTTTTCCTTTCTGACTTTTCAGTTTCTGTTTAAGCCCCAACCTTCACATGTCTGCCTTGTCATCCCTCCTACCGTCAAGTTATTTGTCAGTCTGAGGCTCACATCAAAATTTTAGGGCTTAAAGTACCCTCAACATAGATATTAGCATTAAAATGAGTATATCTGAAACTTAATTACCTAAGGCCTTGCCAGATTGAAGTTACTGTCCCGATCATGAATCAGAATGTTTGGAGTGAAAAGGAACTTAAATATAACTTAGTTCAATACTTTCATTTTACAAATTAAGAAATGGAGTCTCTATGATATTAGTTGATTTACTTAGGATTATCTAGCTAGGGTAGAGTCAGTACTAGAACCCCATTGTCACTCCATTGGGTACATTTTCCAGAATACCCAGTATCATTATCTTTTTAATAGTTTTTGAGTTGAGGGTTTTTAAGAGATGATGCCTTCATTTGTGAAGTTTATTATAAGCCTATTGTGTTTAAAAAAAAAATACAACACAAGGCAAATTTAACAAATCCCCAGGCCATTACCCATAATCTGGGTTTAATAGGTTCCTAATTGCTTGTGGTTCTGGGTATCCTACAAAGAGGACTTTTCGGACCTGGCTCTTGTTCCCCGAGACCTTTAGATTATAGACACTGACAAAGACAGATAAGTGAAAGAACAGAAGCAAAAATGTTAAACCAGTGTATGAATTAAATGTAAGCTCAGAAATCCTGAAGATCTTGGGTACATAACAAAACAGTTAGAATGGGTTGAGGAGGAGGAGTTGTAGGTATCTCCAAGTCCAGTTGGGGCAAGGAGATGCTAAGTTCATGCTGAAATATCAGAGACAGCATTGATTAGACAAGGGGAAAAGAAGGACGATGCTGTGGATGAAGAGTTCATCAGCACTTCCATCCCATACTGTTGCTCAGGATACAGTGAAAATCTGACACTTTGAAGTCTCCCTGGGCCAGGGATATTTCTCTTCTTATGTATTTGTAAATTCAGGTCCCACTTAACCGAACTGGGTTCCCTTGCTTTTCACAGGTGCTGCCCCATACCTGAAGACCAAGTTTATCTGTGTGACCCCGTAAGTGTTTTCCCCATTTGTGCTTCCATTTCTTATACCCTAAGTTGTCCTTGAGAGTAGAAAACTGGGTGAAAGAGAACTAGTAAGGGGCTAGGGAGGGGCCCCCTGAGACCACAGTCATTTCCTAAAATGACCTCTGTGTGTTAGAAGCTCGAGCTTTTGTTTTTTATGTTGGAAACCAGAGTTTGATGGCTTGTTGTGTGTGTGTTGTTTTTCTTTTTTTCTCTATTATGTCATGTCAACCCCGCCCATTCCCCCCACTCCCCATTTCCTACAGAACGACCTGCAGCAATACCATTGACCTGCCGATGTCCCCCCGCACTTTAGATTCATTGATGCAGTTTGGAAATAATGGTGAAGGAGCTGAGCCCTCATCAGGAGGGGGACAGTTTGGTGAGTGCACAGTTGACAAAGACCCCCAGACTTCTCCCTTGTCAGGTGAAGTCAGTGAGTTTGTCACTATGTACAGAGATCCCTGGGCTGGAGGAGTAGGAGAGTACAATATGGGGAACTCTGACCTTTTCGTGGGAAGGAGCCCCAAAGAGGAACTCTCTGAACTGCCTACAAACAGAGGAGTAGAGGCCAAGGCCTCAGCGCCTCAAGTTGATTTATGATCAATGGGTTAGGGCCTTCTGGTACAGGAGAAAAATTAGCTTCTTGCCTTCAGGTAGGACTCATTCTGATGGCAGAGACATACAAGCTACACAGGGAACATAAGAAAGGGTGCTTACAAAACAGCGTGCAAGCAAATACAGAATCACCTAGTGAAAATAGTGGTCAGTAGAGGTTGAATTGATTGAATTAAGTACTAAGAGCATGTGGAATAAAGGAATGGAGCAGAGTCAGGTGTGGTTATTTATTGAAGAAGAGTTTCAATCGGCAGCAAAAGGCTGTCGGAGGACGAAGGTGGGGAGAGCACATAGAGTTTGAGGGGAAAGAAAGCAATAGTAATACTAACAATGACCATTGGCATCTGTGAACTAGGCTGGCGGAGGCTTTGTAACTGTATGGGTAGAGAAGCAGAGCAGGGCAAAAGGGGAGACTTCTTGAAGCCTGAGTGGAAGATTCTCAATGGAGGGGAGAACCGATGGGAATGAAGGGAAAGAATAACTAAGAACATCCAGTTCCCAGTTGTCTATGCCAGTTGGAGTGGGGACTTAATTGCCAACAGAAATCAATTCTCAAACTTCATTTCAGCCCAATTTGTTAACTTTCTTCCTGGCTAGCTTTTGACCAAAACTGCTCCCTGACCCAAGGAGCAAAATAGATGGCATTTGAGTCTGATAAGTAATCAGCCCTCTAAATCATTCAGCCACCTACAGTGGGTTCACTGCCCTACCACAGCTTGGAAGGCAGCCTTGTGGACCCCTTAAAACCTTTCATTTACACATACTACCCCTTTAACACCAAGTAAAAGACTAGGAAACCCTGACCGGGTAGCAAGGACCTCCTAAACCTACCAGAAGTCACAAGAGTTATGGGCAGTTGGGGGACTGTGGTTTTGCTAAGTTGGCAGAGAGTATAAGGTATCAGACTCTTTTCTGTTTATATGTAATATTCACTTCAGCTAAACCTTGAGGTTAGCCTCTAGATCTAATGTTCCGCATTAGATGTAGAATCATGTCGTGCCACCAAATCTCAAAAATGGAAGGGACTCAGAGGCCATCTAGTCCAACCTGTACCAGAACAAGAACCTGCTTTGCTGAGCAAGTCGTCATCCAAGCTCCCAAGACTGTTTTTCTTATTCACCCACTAATCAACTCATCTAGTGCATAATGCTGTGACTTTAAGACTCTTGAGTTTCAGAATACTTCCTTTCATCCCTGTTTGCAGGACTTTTGTATGAAATCCTTTTTTGAGGTCAAGATGTGGTTCCCAGAGTGTAGTGGGACATATTTCCTTGAAATTTAACCTGCGTTGGTTGCCATTTTTGAAGGAGAGCTACATGGAAAAGTGGGTGGAAACAGCAATGACCCGAGCCTCTAGATACTATGCCTGGGGGCCTGGGATACAGGGCAGGGTGGAGGGGCGGGCTGTACCCTTCTAGCTTTGAGGAAATCAGGTCACTGAGCTATATCTCTCTCTTTGCCCTTCCTTCTCTCTCTATCCCTCCAGAGACCCTCACGTTTGACATGGAATTGACTTCTGAATGTGCTACATCCCCCATGTGATGGGCTAAGAATGGAAGCTACAGAAGAATGTAACTGAGGCACCTAACCCCACCCCACCCCTTCCAGAAAAACCCCAAACCCAACAACCAAATCCCAGATCAACTGAAACTTGTACCTTTGTGACTACAGATCATTTTCTTGGATCTCCTGCTTCTCATTTATCCTTAAGTGATTAGGGTACCTTTCTCCTAGAGAAATGAGTGCTTCTAGGTTATATGCTGTTAGCCAAACAGAAGTCCAGTAGTTCATTCTTTGAGCCTGTGGTTGTTTGGGCGGGAATGTGGGGGTGGGGGAGGCAGGAGGGAGAAGAGAGGAATGGGCTTTGATTCTCCCCCACTAACGTTCTTCCTCAGTCATTATTTGGGGATTTTTGTGTGTGTTCTGGGTTTCTCTGTTTTGTTTTTTGTTTTGCTAGACAAGTGCCTACTGGTGCCAGCTGCATCCAGTGCCTGTTTTCTAAGGTAATGCTCCAGGCTGTGTCTGACTGCATGCTGCCAGCACCTGCTGCACCTATTATCTTGCTAACATCCAAATAGAAGTGAGGACTTTTTAATCCTCTAGGTTTCTTTTTAAACCTGGAAAAGTTAAAATCAAAAGAAAAGAAACCCCATTCTCTCCCATATCAAAGCTTTTTAAAAATGTATTTAAGATTTTTCAGAGACTTCTTCCAGGTAATCAGCAATCCCAGACGGCAGTCTTTCCTTAGACTCCTAGAGTGAGTTCATCGAATTGGTTCGTTCATTCGTCCATTCAACAAACATACTCAAGGTGCTGGGGACACAAAGATAAAATCTGACTTGATCCCTGCCCTCAAAGAGCTTACTCTTGAGTACCTCAAATGGTAGCTGAAGCTCTGAAGCTATCGCTTGGCCTTTAAAACAGACATGTTTAGGAAGAGCCTAAAATGAGATAGATATAAATATATATATATATAAAAGTTTTCTTTGGTAAATCTTTTTATTCCCTTTGCTAGCCTCTTAGCCCCAACGCCTTAGTTTCTGGTTCTGAGCTTGGTTGTTAGGGTGCCTTATTTGGGCTGAAGGGATTCTTCCCTCCTCAGCATGTCCTCCTTTTCGCTTCTGCTCTCTCAGCGTCAGTCCCATTGCTTTAGGATTCCTGGTCTTGGAGCCTTGTGAAATCAGCATATAAAAGAGCTGTGGGTGCTAGCTGTAAGTGTCAGGCCATGAGCCTCACAAAGTGCCCTGTTGGTTTCAGGAGACACATAACTCTCTCAGGTTCTTGAAGGTTTTCAGCACTTATTTCACTTTTAACATGGTTATCTCCTAGGGTGGAGACATACAGAATCGTAGAATGTTCCAGTACAGAGGAATTGTAGAGACTGTCTGCTAAGGCCAGGGCTTAGACTTGGGTTGGGCCTGCATCCCTTGGCTTTCCTCAAGCCTGGGGGTGAGTCAGAGGTCCTTCTTTTGGGTCCGGGAGGGAGCAGGAAGACCCCGCCTCTTGACAGGCCTTAAATTGTTCTCAGGCCTCTTCTGGTGCTTCTCTTTTTGCCTTCCTAGTATTAGCCAGCCACATTTGTAGTCTTGTCCCAGGTGCTTTCTTAAAGAGGATTTAGGTCTGTTCTGCTCCAGAGGCAGCAGCTTGGGATGTGAAGACCTTGAAGAGTCTCTTCTCAGTTCTTCCCTACCCTCTATGGATCCCCACAGCAGCCTTTGAGCTGAATGGGGACACTGATCTCCCTAAGAGCACTATAATAGTTCCTCTTGGTCTGAGTCATCTTCGTGATGGGATGGTGTTGGCACTCAGTGCAGACCCTTAGGAGCACCTTGATTATTCGGGCTGGAAAACTGGGGGCTGTGCCAGAGAGAACTCACAGTTGCTATTTTGCAGTGTGAGGCTGGAGGAGAGATGGGTGACTCAGTGTCCTAGGGGGGGCATTTAGAATTGATGATTTTAGGTGGCATGTGTCTTTCTGTTTCTAATTCTTGTGATGACAGAAGAAGTAAAAGGAATTGAAACATGATTTACCTTTTCTTCCATTTAATTCTTTTCTCTCAAGAACAGTACCTTGGGTAGGTCTGCTGCCCTTCTCAAACCCCTTTCAAACTCCCCTTCCCCCTCATCATGCCCCCAAGGGGCTTCCCTGTTACCAGTTCACCTTGTACATTGGTTCTGTTTGTAAAACAACCTCTGAGCTGCTGACCTAGTCCTCCTTGCATTCTGACTCCAGTGTATACTTCATACTGTAAAAAAAAAAAGTTCGTTTTTGTATATTTTATTGCTGTATCTATCTGCTTTTAACTTCCAGAAATAAACATTTTAAAGCAATTATCTGATCGTGTAGCATCCTTCTTGCCCTCTTTCATTCTCTGTCTGCCTCTCCTCCTGTTGTTACTCTGTATGTTGTGGGGCTGGAGTTAGTCAAAGCTAGAGAGAGAAGAGTAAGCCCCCAGCAGCCTTGCAAAAAGACCTGCTCCCAGGGCCAGGCTTATGGCCTGGGGTGGGAATGACTGTCTTCAGCAAGCTTTTATTACACACCTACCAGGGGGATACAAGATAGAATAAAAAACCAAAACAGTCCCTGCTCTCAATTTAAATTCTACCAGACTATACACAGAAAAGTAGTTGAGTGGGGGTATGGGGAGAGTATCATTACTAGAAGGAATCAGGAAGGGCCTCTTAGGGTACAGCATGAACTGAGCCTTTGAGGAAGCTTTGGTTTCCAAAGTGACAGGGGTGAGGACAGAACATTCTAGGCTTGGAGAGCAACCTGTGCTGAAGCCAGGAATGCAGGGGGTGGAGTGACACCTGAGAAACGCCCTCGTGGTATTATCTGGACTCCAGCCTTTTACATGGCTTCAGTTTTGTCTAAAGAAGTCAAAGCTCTTGGGGATGCTGCCTTCTTTTGAAGCCCTAAGCCTAACGTTTTGCTGTGAACTGGAGACAACCAGTGGCTCTGACAAAAGACTGTTCTAATCTGAAAAAGCCAGATTCCCGCCCCCCTTCTGTAGCTTCCCTGAGCCCTATTTAATGTCACTAAGCTAAGGAAAGAAGACACTAGCCCCAAATTTCTCTCCCCTCTTCCACTGTCTGCCTCTTTTATGCTCTGTCCAGGTCTGTCATTGGGAATTGCAACATACAGAAACTTGACTAGAACTGCCATGACAAGCAGCGTTGGCCCACGGGTCTATAATTCAGGGAAATGCTCAATAGTGCTGTTTGCTTTCATTCCCTCATCACCAAGTCTACTTAGCTGCCCCCATGTTCCCTCCTCCCTTTCATAAACACCATGGAGACAGAGACCGGTGCATGATAACCAGCTGCCTCCCCTGCAGAGACAAAAGGGAAGATGGGTCATGTTGCTTCCACTGAACTGAGACCACCTTCTTTCCCTCCCCACCCAGTCACAGCACCAAGCTGCCAGCAGTAGCCATGACTCCTGAACACAGCCCAGCACAGATCCAGGTCTTCCCTCTCCAGTTCAGGGTAGCCATGGTCCCAACACCTGTCCTTTTTCAATGAGCTGTAAAAAAGCCTTTTCTGCCACTGGGGTCAGTACCCTTCACTGAAGGGATCTGAGTGACTCCAACGGCTAAACATTTGGCAACTGCATTGTTTTTCCCAGCTGTACTAATATGCACTTAATTTTTAACTGGGTGACTTCTCAGGTAGAGAAGTTAGGTAGAGCCTGCAGTTCAGAGTGAGCCAGGTTGAATAACATGGAGGTAGAGGACTCCTTTTGATTACAATGGGTCTTCACTTAGAACGTTGCCTGAGAACAGCAGCTATGGGCCAATGTTGCCACCTACTGGTCTTCTGGAGGAGGGGGGAGAAGGAGGCAGCTGTAGCCACAGTAAGATCCTAGCCAGGGACTAGACTAGGGAAGAATCTGGAGTTCTTCCCCCCAAGACCCAACTCCAGAATTCCTCTATGATGGTAGCTATAAAACTGGGTATATTCCACGATATCTCTTACTCCCTATCTATCTCCACTTACTCCAAGATGTGTTTCCTTCACTGAGAGTCACTGATCCCCTTCATGATACTGTTTGGAAAGATTTGGCATTCCCCAAGATAACTAGCTAGAAGTAGCTATATCTCAGAAATTTTAAGATAGGTGATATGTCTGTGGCCTCAAGTTGCAAAATTCCATCATTGAGACACAAAGGAGAGAAAGAATTATGAAATGCTCAGGTCCACGTTCCACATTCATCATTCACCCCTCCCCCAGTTATGTATCCCAGCGCCTCCCACCTAAAAAACAAGGCCATTCTTAAAAAGCATTTTATTCAAAAACAGCATTTCTTCACTTTATCCAAATGTTTTGTACAAAGTACAAAAAGTATGTGGTGTCATCCTCTGGCCCCTGTCTGCTCTGATCTCAAAGTCATTTCAACCACTAATCTTAACATCCTCACATCCCACTACAGCACAGATAAATGCTCCCCCACTTTGTAAATCTAATTTTCTATTCCCCAGCCTGCTAGGTAAGCTGAAAGGGACATTGGGTAGCTGACAGAAATGCAAGGCTAGGGGAAGGCTCCTGTCAGTACCAAAACCATTCTCAATGAGATTCTCAAGGGCACCAAAGATCAGCTTCTGGAATCAGTCATAGATACAGTTGTAGTTTCTTTTTTCTCTGATAGAATTTTTTTTAAAAGACTTTAAGTCCTCCTTACTGCGTTCCAGACATCTTTCCTCTCCTGCTGCCAAAGTCATCCTGTTTTCTGGTCATTGCCAAGGTCATGATGTGTGTGTGGGCGGGGAGGGGATGTGGGTCAGGAAAAGAAAACAGAGACTTGAGAGAAGACAGTCAGGCCTAAAGGGTCAGGACCTCTGACCCAAGAGAGAGGAAGAGGTCTAGCAACCACTCACAGGAACAAGGCAGCTCTTACACCACAACTTGTTTCTGGTTAACCCTTCCTGGACCAGTCTGGGGGCACGATTGGGTCAATCTGTAAAGCATTTCCCAGGAGTTCTAGCCCAGACCCTTTTGTGCATGGGATTGTAGGATCATAGATTTTGAGCTGGATGGGCTCTTGAAGGTCTTCTGGTCCAATCCCTTACCAATACAGAAACTGAAGAGATCAAGTAGGTTGCAAGAGAGTAACACAGGGGAAGAGCCATAATTAAAATCCAGGCCTTCTGGCTCCAAATCCAGGGCTTTCTACTGTACTACATGGATTGACTAATTATACGCAGACATCTGCGTGTGTGAGCATAGACAAGTGCACACACATACATACAGGTGCATTTGGGAAACCACTCAGACCACACATGGGGAAATTATGTCCTGCCTCCCACTCCTCTCTGACAATCCTGCCTCACCTACTGCTGCTAACAGGGCAAAGGAGAAAAAGAAAACATCCCCCCACCCCACCCCTTCCCTTTCCCTCCTAACAATCAAAGTTTATGGACTGGCTTTTAAATGAGAGAAAGTAGTCACAGTCCCTAAGGCCCTGAAGATGTTGGCAAACACTAGACAGTAGGGGAAGAAGCCACCCACCCCACTGGCATCACATACACAGAAATGCTGAGGTCCCAACAACCATCAACACTTCCAATTTTGAATATTGTCTCCAATGATGCATGGATTTCACACCCATCAATGAGAAGAGGGAAGAGGGTGATGAGACATGGAGTGGAGGGGTAAGGAGTCATGACTGGGTGTGGGGGATCCACTGACTGTCCATTGGTCGGCTTAAAAGTTCTTCAACATGTCTTGCTACATCCATGGTTTCATCCAGGTCAAAATCCGCATCAGGATCAAGGACAGAGTCAGGGCTGGTGGAATAAAAGGGAAGTCTTGAGAGTCCAGAGGGGAAAAAAATAGATTCCCCACTCCAGACTATCTCATGGGTGTGCCCCAGGGCTCACCCAAGGATGGCAACCCATTCCCCTCCCCCACTCAAGGCTGCCCAGAAGATTCTGATCTAATCTGGACAACACAGCTCCAATTAAACCCAGAGGAGAGGTCTCCAGGGGTAGCTGGGAGCAGGCAGTGCTTGGTGAAGGATAAGTAAGATTCCATGCCTACCTCTGCTCCTACAGTGACCACCAGCTTCTTCTTTCAGAATCTCATACCTACTGCACTTGGGAAAAAGTAGAAGCCCAGGGCTATGCCTGAATAACCTGGGGTCTGTACACGGGGATGGGGGGAATATTTTATATCTTCATTTTCACTAACCTTTGGTTCCTTTGTGTTCCTATGCATTTTATTTTATGTGTCTAAAAACATTATTGTGAGAAGGGGTCCAGAGGCTTCACCAGACTGCCAAAGGGGTCTGTAACACCAAAAATGGTAAAGACCCCTCTCCTAGGAGTTTTGAAAATTGGGAAAGGCTGGACTATTGGAGCTATCCCCAAATCTGGAGATGGTGAGTTCTCCTTGGCTAGGTAGAAATCTTCCAACCAAAGGCTGGGTGGCCACTAGTTCGGAAGGATGTAGAAGGTCTTCCTGGTCAGGCATAGGATAGACTATATGGTCCCTTCTAACACTGTGATTCTGGACCCAAGCCACCAACCTACACTTAAAGCCAGTAAAACCCAGCCCAATTGGGAAACCCATTTGAGACCGGTTCCTTGAACAGTTACCGCCCCTCCCCTTTCTATGCAAGTGCAACCTACTTCTGGGGATACATGTTATAATGAGACTGGGAGCACACAGCTGGGGATGGGGCCTGATCCATGAATGTGGCACTGCCTCCCGAAGAATCTGCAGATGCACTGACAAACCTGAAGGAAGAAGAAAAAACAGTCATAGATCCCACCCCTCGGGAGGGCTGAAATGAGAGCCCACGAGGACCCCTGCCAGTTCTATGATCCTAGAGCTTGGACCTGGGAGGGAAACATACTCGCTAAGCATCTATTCAGTCTGTCACAGCTGTCCAAGGAGGCCACCTGGGCTAGATCATCACCTCAGAAAAACCCAGATCTGCCCCTTCTCCCCTGGCTCCTGTTCCCTTGGGAATCTTGTCTGGGCTCAGGAGTTTAATGTACTGCTAATTGAACCTGAGCTCTTTCATGGACTGCTAATTGAGTCTGAGGCATGTCAAGAGGTCATCTTGGCACTTCTCCTGAGGAAATTGTTTGTAGGGGTGAGGAGGAAGAGGAGGTACCCCCTCTGCTCTAGGGGATCAGGGAAGCTCTGAACTGAGGGTACTGACTCAAAACAAAATGTTAAGATCCCACTCAACATCACTCAGCAAGGTCTGAGTCTGCAGAAGGGTGGATTTATGGATTATGGGTGTGGATGGGGGGGGTGGGAAGAGGGGATTGTGGGTAGGGGAAGCAAAATGAAAAGAAAGAAAATCCAAATGTGAATACTGACAGGAGCTGAACACTTACTCTGGAACCACCTGCTTGATCTGTGGTTTCACATATCCATCCACAGCTTTACCTACCAAGGAGAAAAAACAAAAAAGAAATTGAAATCACTGGTGGCTCCCAAGATAGGGGTGGTGGTAGAGGAGGAGTGGAAATAATAATACTAATACTAAGAATAATAACAATAATAGCTAGCATGTATATAGTACTTTAAGGTTTGCAAAAGCACTTTACATATGTTATTTCATTTGATCTCAAAGCGACCCTAATAAGTAGGTACTATTGTTGTTCATTCATTTTCAGTTGTGTCTGACTCTTTGTGACTCCTTTTGGGGTTTTCTTGGCAAAGATTCTGGAATGGTTTGCCATTTCCTTCTCTAGCTCATTTTACAGATGAGGAAACTGAGGCAAACAGGGTGAAGTGACTTGCCCAGGGTCACACAGCTAGTAAATGTCTGAGGCTGGATTTGAACTCAGGTCTTCCTGATTATAGACCTGGCACTCTATCCATTGTACCACCTAGCTGGCCAATGTGCTATTATTATCCCAATTTTACCTATCAGAAGACTGAGGCTAAGAACAGTTAAGTGCCCTGTCCAGGGTCACATAGACAGTAAATATCTGAGGCAGGATTCAAACTCAGGACTTCCTAACTACATGTCTAATGCTCTCTCTACTGTACCACTTATGCTATCCCCAAGACAGCAGAAGTCTAGGAAAAACATGCAGTATTTGTAGATGGATTAAAGATGCAGTTTAAGAATTAGTCAG